GACTCGTTTCCGGCTCTGTAATCACGGAAACGGGATTTGAAATTCGAGTTCCCACTAATGGCCGGTGACACCCGTCCACAGATCGCAACGGTAATCGGATCGACGTGGCTCGTTCGAAACCGTTCCTCCTCGTTCCATTTACATTCGTTTTTCCAGCGCGAAGGAGCGTCGTATCCGTCGCCCTTTCTCCCGACACCGCGACAGAAAACGAAACAAGGTGGGTCTTTTGCTCGAAAGTGATTTCCCTTCCTTCCCTACCTCCGACCAATTTTCCCAATTTTCGTTCGTTACCGTTATCCTGCGTAACCATCCCTCTGTGTTTCTGCACGAGTGTTTCTGTTTCCGGTCCTCGATTAACCGCGAAAATTTAATCCCGCTCGAGCGATTGCCTGTTATCCCGATTGCACGCGCGAGTAAAACGTCTAACGTCGAGTTGTTTAGTCGGAAAATTGCTCTTAATGGCACGACTGTGTGCTGTGGATGGCGTGGTGTCCCGTTGTTCGCGGGGAAGCTCGTCGTTTGTTCCTGTCTCCCGCCTAGCCCGATTAATTTTAATCAGCTTAAACCCATTAGAAAGCGGAATCAGTGGAGGCAATTTTTTAAGATATATATATAGATATGTGTGTATATCTCTATAAACAAATTCCAGGTAAACGTGGAAGTAGCGCGAGCTTCCCACATCAAGGGAAGCACATTAGTTTGCTCTCAAACAAACGTCGAGCTAGGTCTGATTGCTTGCTTGAAATGTATGCACGTTATAACTGATTTGTGCCCCTGTGTTCAAACCCGAGTTTCGTCTCTTGTTGTTTGAACGTCAATTTCTAAACGGTTCGAGTATCGATTCGATGGAATTCCCGTCTCGATCGATCGAAACTACTGTATCGAGCACGGTGAATTTTCTTATTCCTTCAAGCATAATAATAAATAAATAGAACTTGTCGATGCAGAAAATCGTACAAAAAAATCTTCCTTTCCGACGTAAATTTATAAGCGAGACATTTTAAAAAAACGATACACAAAAAAGCTTTCCTTCCCCTGCTCCCTGTCGGGGAACAAAAGCGAGAAATCTGCATTCATTAATCACGCAGATCTAAATCTTTCGCGTTACTCGTATTTCCACTTCCAATAAATCCCTGCGGACCAAGTTTAATAATTTGTCATCCTTTGTCACGACTTGTTCCACCGGTCGAAATATTCAACGCGAAGACGAGCGAAGGGAGACAGGAGAATATTTTTCCAACTCGAGATCGAGCTTCTTTTTCTCAAACCCTTCCCCCGTGATTAAATCTCAATCGAGATGATTGGAGAGAGAAAGAGAGAGAGAGAGAAACGGTGGAGTAAATCGATGCATTAATTAATTACAAGGCGGAGAGACAAATCTGACGGAACAGTGTGGAGGGATCATATTCCCGCCACCAGTGACGGACACACCACACAGCTGTCCCTCGTGTTACCTCGAAATTGTGCTGGCCTGTGTGAATCTGTCCGCGGATCGGGTGATTTCCAGTTGATTCGCGTGCAACGCCCCGACAGCGTGGATGCCACCTGTCTTCTCTAACGAGTCGTGCTGCTTCCACCTCCACGCACACACACATACAACACACACGTTGCGCGAACACGTATTGCTGATTCCCGGTGTAATTGATCATTATGGTCTTAACCATGGGGAACGCGGACTTTTCGTCGCTCGATGAGCATTCACGAGTGACGTTTAGTGGAGGGTGCTCGTTATATTCACGAGGGTGACGTTTTATTTTGATATATGACGGGATTCTAAATCGCGTCGTAATTTTATTTTGATCTGGCTTTTGAGTTTTGAGAGCGAGGCCATTTATCAATTATACGAATACGTGGATATATTTATATACTGTGTGTGGTAAAGGATAACACGTTTTTGTAAAACGTGGGGAGTCAAGAAGAGAAAAAAAATTATGGATATATATATATAAAATCTTCTTTAGAGACGGAAATCGATGTATCATGCGATATATAGGTTTCAATTTAATCGAGGTCTTGTGTATTTTAATTTAAAAATTTTGATCGAGGGATAAAAAAGAAAAAGAAGAAGGGGAACGCGAGAGCTCGTTAATGTCCCTTATGGGAAGTTAAGTGGAAAGTGCGCGTTGAGAGCTGTCGAGGAAGCTTTCCATCAGCGGTGGAGATGGACGACAAGGAAATAAAAGAAAGGATCTCACTTGAACGGGCAATCACGTCCCCCCAAACAAATAAAGACAGTGATGGATATATCCACTCGATCTATCGTATGAAAAACCAACTTCCTCGGATATATCCACTCCCGCCGCTTAAAGAGTTAATTCAAGTATCCTTCAGGGAGAATTTCCTCCGTGGCCGAGTGTCGTTCAACGTCGAAACACAAACATAAATTGCAGAGAGGAAAAGGAATCGACCGATTCAATTGCCAGACCCAGGATCGAGGGACTCGTATTTTTCTTTCACCCCAACTTCGAACCTTCCCCTCTCCCCTCCGGGATACGAGACTCCGGGATTTCGAGGACGAGATCTACGCGCGACGAAATCGTGGACGAATCGAACGAGAGAAACGATTCATAATCACGGGTGGCGCGTAATGCAAATTCGCGGAGACGAATCGAGACGATTGGATTTATTTAAGAAAACCTTCTAAATAAACCTTCGCGCGAAATTCGTGAATCGTTCGAACTTTTTTAAGTTACGCGCTTACGTAGGCCCGAGCATCGTTTGCACAATGGGCGTTTGCGTTGCAAATTTTTCGCTCTGCCGGGTCCAATTAAAAAAATATATACACCCATCTACCATACCCCTCGGGACAGAGAAATTTTGTTTCGGGGCTCCGATTTCCTGGAAATTATTGCGATCGAGCAACCGTGACTGGAATTTCGGGAAACACCCTGTATATACGTATACACGGAGCGCAGACTCGCGTGTCGCTGTGTCTGTCTACACCTGTCTATGTATACAGCTACGCGTGTACATGTGCATCTGTGCGGTGTACATGCGCTCGTGTACGGAACGAAGCGTGGAACGGTGTGGTAGCCGGGCGCGTTCTCCACGCATGATGAGGAACGAACGGAATCATAAATGTCCGCTCTCTGGTGTGACACGGTTGCGGGAACCCGAGCGAGTCATGACATCGCGAGAAGATATCTATAGATAGGCTGGACGAGGGAATGAAAAGGGAGAAATTTATGCCGTCCTCGTGATGGGATTTGACGGCGTAGACGGCGTGGATTTTCAACGTCGAATCGTCACTGGAAAATCGCCACCATCGTCCATCTTTATCCCGCCTCGACTCGATCTTCCATAACTCCTTCCTCTCTCTTTCTTTCCTCCATCATCGTCCCTTCGCGGCGTATCTTCTTTTCCCTCCTCTTTCCTTTTCGATTCTCTTTGTTGTTGAATATCGTTTCGCGGGTATGACGAAGATCAAGTTTTCGAGTTCATCGCGTCGCGTTACTTTCTCCCAACGTAGCTACTTGGCAAACATGGTCAACTATGGAGGAGAAGGAGAGAGAAGAGGAGGAGAAGGAGGAGGAGGGGGAAGAGATTGGCCTACTTTACATTTCACGCTCCATCTCCGCCGGTGTCCCGTATCTCGGCTCCTCTAACCGAATACATATATATGCACGTCCATCACCCGTGCACCGAGATAGCGTTAACAAGCTTTATATAAGCAATGGCCCAGAGACCGATCTGCTTGCCTCCCGAACATCAAAGGGATCCTTCCTTGCTTCCTGCTCCGTGCTCCCGTCCATAGACGGA